ACAGGGCAAGATATGACAAAATAATAATTTCTAAATTATCAAGGGCTCATGAGGGAGGGGAAAAAATGAGGACCTGGTGCCAGGAGTTTAAGTGGAGAGCAAATATTTTGAGAATGATGAGGGCAATGAATGTACAAATGTTCTTGACACAATGGATGTATGGACGGATTGTGATAAGAGTTGTATGAGCCCCTAATAAAATGATGTAAAAAAATAATGTGTACGGAACTCTTCAGCGGGGATTAACCAGTGTTGCCATCCTGTAAATTTTCAGTGAAACATCTTAGAGAGGAAACCTCACAACCACCATCAAAAAAGAAGAGCTGGGAGTGGAGCATACCCTTTGAAGCCAGGCTTGCTGTGCTGAGATTCTCCTAGACCCAGAAGACAAAGAGAGGTAACACAGGAGAGACTGCAACAAGTGGCAGCAGAGAAGTATTTCCCACAGAGGGAGCAGGACCAGGAGACTAGGTGGATAGTGGGCTTCCTGACTAATGGAGACAGAGGACTGAGAGGGCCTCCAGGCGGGAGTTTTTCTCGTGGACTAGGGTGGCTCTGGGCACTTTTCAGGGGTGTTAGGCATGCTAACCCATAGAGCTAGAGCAGAACAGCTTCCGGTCAAAGCTTATTGGCAGAGTTAGTGCCTCCAGGCACTTTCAACAGAACCAAAGGAGCTGCATAAAGTGCTTCCCCACTCCCCCTGTACAGTGGACCACAGAAAGACCTGTCTGCAGACCTGGCTGAAAAGAGGCTATCTTGATCAAAGAACTGTGTCTTCAGCATTCCTAAACTTGACTTAGAAACCTGTTATTTCCCTGATAAACCCCATAACTATGAGTATAGTCTGTGAGTTCTATTTGGTCATGGCAATGAATTATTGAACATAGCAGAGAAGTAGGGAATACCATGGGAAGAATAGCTTGTGTCAGAATCAGTACAGAGATTAAAGAGAGAGGGTATGTCTGATCTCCCCATTACACAGATCAGGCTTGGAATGTTGATGCCGTTTAAGATCTTGCTTCTTGTGATGTCAGAGCAGGCCAGATGACTTGGCCATGACATTTTAGAGCACTGGAGAAGATGAGCAACAATGAAGCCATCACCCGTGAACTGGGCGCAAGAGGTGAGTAACAATGAGGCAGTTAAGATCTTCTTGTGATGTCAGAGGAAGCCAGATGACTTGGCCATGACATTTTAGAGCACTGGAGAAGATGAGCAACAATGAAGCCATCACCCGTGAACTGGGCGCAAGAGCTGAGTAACAATGAGACGGTGGCCCAAGGGCACATGCAGTTTTGTGAAAGCTCG